CCCCCCCCTTGTGATGCCTAAGCTAGTCAAAAGCGAACCTTTCTTCCCCCCTCTTCATCAACCTGATAGGTATAGAAGTGCCCCGCAGCTGTAACGTAATAATGGATGCAGCGTTGTGTCGAAGCGCATGCAGGGCTCTGTCTACAGCTTTCTTGTACAACTCTCGCCGCTCTTGTCCCCCCTTTGGCATCTTGTCCACCTCTTCGTCAGAAGCAAACTCGTCGACGGCAAGCTCGACACTGTACTGCGCGAATATAGCAGCTAGCACCGCGAGAACCTCAGCTTGCGCAAAGCGCCGCCCTATGCAGGATCGGCCACCATCACTGAACGGAATATAGGATCCTCTGACAGGCTTGAAGAGCTCCGATGACGTGTCTTCCCCGGATGGTCCACGTAGTGCCTCATCGTCGTAGTCAACTTCGACAAAAGATTCCGAAAGGTTGTTCTTCGTAAACCAGCGCTCAGGTCGGAAACGATCCTGGTCCAACATACCATCATTGTTTGTGTCATTTTCGGGCCCGGGCCAATACCTCGGATTGCGATGGACAGCCGAGCAAAGGAAAACGTTCGAACCTGCAGGGATAGTGTATGTCTGGCCGTCCACTTGAATGGTCTGAGATTGGTCTGGCGTGACTGATTTTGGAATGTTGACGATTGGCTGCATTAACCGGAGCGTCTCGTTCATGACTGCAGCTGGCATGCTCGCGAAAAGCTTGGGAAAATGCTCCTCGTACGTCCATTCGCTCGTCGGCCTACCATTGAATATCCGGTCAATGTCTTGTTGTAACCGTTTCTGAGATGCCCAGTAGATTGCAAGATAAATCAGCGAAAAATGCAGCGTGTTTGCTGTTGTTTCGTGGCCGGCCAGCATGATCACAAAAGCGTTACCGAGTATATCGCTCTTATCGGCAGTTGTGGGATTCTCTCCTGTGATACCACTACCGCGAATTAACGATTCGAAAACATCCATCCCCCTCTTGCCTTCGCCGGAAAGATACTGAGTCTTTTTGGTCTCATACAATTCGTTCATATAAGCGTTCCACTCGCCAGCTGCCTCAGCGACTGTGCGATGCGCCGTAAACGGAGATTTTTCTAATAGAATGCATCAATGCCATTGGTTTCGAGTACAAGTGGTACTGATATATCTTACCAAGCCATGGGATGGGTATTATCTGGGTCCAAATGATATTATGAAGCAGCTCATTGAGCGCTTCTCGATAGCTCATAGTATGGCCGGGGGGCGCCTTGGAGCTAAAAGAGATGGACTGCTCTGCATTCTTGCTGGCTGTTTCCTCATTACCTTCTTCGTGCGGCCAGGTAACCCGTACATCGAAGCCTGCGCTACTAATGATGTACAAGGCAAAGTTCATTGCAGCTACAGAAGGATCAATCACGGTCTTGTTACCTCTTCCCTCGGGTCCAGCCCAGAGACTAAGGAGTGATTTTGCGTGATGGAGTGTTTCGTTAAAAACAAGCTCATTGTTGCGGTCACCGAAACTCGGTGCTACAAGTTTGCGATGGCTGCGCCATTCAGCTCCTTCGGTAGCCACAAGATTCTTCCCATATATGTTGAGGGATTTGTAAATCTCAAGAGGCTTGGGAAAGTCATTACGACGGGTAGTAATTTGGGTGATGGCCTCTGCGTTAGCGACATAGACGGTGAGTCCAGAGGGGGCGGCGGCAATGAATATGTCCTTGCCAATTTCCTTGAAATATTTGTATCCAGTGACATGGGACCATTCTGCCTGTAGGATTCTGCAAGGCAATGGTTAACATGTGACAATTGACGCCATTGTCTATACGTACTCTAACCACAGGCCCGTTAGGGAGCTAGGGAGAAATTTTCGCAGCAGCAGCGTCCAGAACTTGAACGTGGCCAGCCAGAAACGATTGTAAATATTCCAAGGAACCGAAACCACAGGCAGCCCTGTGCTTTTGGCGAGTGCAATATTGCGCTGATAGCGCTGATATCTCCAAGCAGCTTTGTAGATGGTGTAGGCTACAATGGCACTAAAGACCCAGGTGGCAGAGACCATGGTGAGCGAAGGTGTAGAGCAGAGGCTATGCTATGCTAGGGAAGGTAATTAGACGACTGTGCACGAGATGTTTGCTGTTTGTGATGCTGTGCTCTTCATGAGAGGAAGACGTGACGTCGCCATGTTGGCGCTACGGATCGGCCATACTGTGGCGTTTCAGTGCTCAAACAACCTTTTCAGGGGCCAGCAAAAACAATAACAATGTACACCTTCCAGTACAGTGCTGATCTAAACCAGATGAGTTCATGTTTCCAGCTCTGGTAGCTATCCAGACCAAAATAATTATACATGTGGCGCTGACGCGCAAAGGATCTTTGTGTAACGAGCAGTCTGCATCCAGGTACCAGTCTTGGCAGGAGCTTCGGGATATTAGTCGCCACCTGCTGTATGACAATACACTGATATAGTAGTACTCACTCGGCCGCCTACGAGACGACGGGATTTCCGATGCATTTGAATCACCGGATGCTTTCATTAAATGTGAGGCTACTTGGCTTGCATGCAGAGTTTGCGTCTCGTACGACACCCCTGGCACAACGCTCCGTGGAGGCAAGGAATGCGCACGCCGCTTGGTGAACAGTAGTGGGACAGAAACCTGATGTTTACGTACTGACATAGTATGCTACTATATACTATACTTATACTATATGCTAGATGTGTCGATGCCTACACACTGCCAGCTTCAACGTCACAAGCCAGACTCTGGTTATTTCGCTGGACTATGCGCACAGAGTTTCCGTATTCCAATAAGCTTTGGAACTGCAATGCGACTGTTGTGCCGCTTTGCTGCGACCTCGAGCTTCAACCGCAGACCAGGGCATGTCATCGCAGGCGGCACGTAATGCTAGGCGCGAATCATGACCACTAACACGGCCTGCCCTTCTCTAGGGCGCAAAACTTTGTGTAGGAGCAGCCCTGATCCGGTCAAGCAAGCAACGCGACTACCACACCGACTCGATGGCGACTTATCGGCCGACTTTGACTCGTCAAGAGGGCGTGTGAGGAACTCCCCAAGGGATTACTGGACGCCTCCTGCCTTCCACGTGGAGAAGCTACGGCCACCAGGATGACGAAGCCAGGGTTCCCACGAGGGTTGCAGGCCGACCTTGCTCACACGGCTCGGGCTGTGGGGGAGAGGAGTCGTCTATCGGACATGGTTTTGGCAGCAGCAATCATCGAGGTTGAAGCAGACCGCAACTTGGCGTAGCGTCGGCGGACAGGACCGGGCAGAGTCGGCTGGTCATCTGACAAAATGGCTTCAATGGCCACTGCTGCGACGGGCTTAGCAGCAGCGACCACTGCTGTTTGGGTTTAATGCCTTCCTGGCAGCTGACCATGCCGAGGCACGGTCAGGACGAGAGAGAGAGAGTGTGTGTGTGTGTGCCTGTTGGCAGAGAAGAGGGCATTAGCAGAAACTTCCCGTCGTGCAAGGATGACTGGGCGGCGGCACCGCAGCGCGGAGCGGAACCAACGTTGTGATGGAGGGGCAGGTCAACAACGCCGTGGTGATCCTGGCCTGCCTTCTCCCATGTTGGCTGGGAGCCTACTGTTCCTGACGCCATTCTGGCGGTCGCGTCTTACGGCGCGCTAAATAACATCCAGGATTTTCCCGAGAGTGTTTTGTCATGGTGAAACTAATGTGGTGATGCTACCACGACTACATACGTACTTACCAGGCCGAGAGCCGCGTTTTCCCACCGCAACCGTACGACGCGGGCAAATGGGTAGTGCAGGGAGTATACGCACCATCTGGCCATGTGCCACCAGGCTGCCTATAGGAGTTTCGCCAGGATCCGCAGCGTGCGAGTGCAGATCTTTGGGCAGCAGCAGCGGGAGCAGCAGTGGTTAGTGGTAGCAGCCATGATAGTCGCGGATTTCCACGTCCCTTTTGACGGAGATTGGGGACCTAGGGTTTGGAGGCGGCATGCAACGAGGGGCTGGCGGGCGGGAGCGAGTGCGAGCACGAGGTGGGTGGCAATGGGCAGCATAGCCATCGTCTGCAGGCCCAAAAAGATAGAGCATACGAGCTGTCTGGACGCCACCTGCAACGCATCACTTCCACGAGCCTTCTCGAATGCCTTGGTGCGGCAGTAGAGTGGAGGCTGGGAGGACTGGGCATGTTGACTAGTGCCTCGACGAGCTCGGATCAGCTTCCTGAGTCTTTGAGGCCAGCAATTGGGCGGAAATTGTCCGACTCAAGGCCCTCATGACAGGCTTGCCTCAAGCTGCACCAGGGTCGCTGCGGAGAGGACTGGTGTTGGTGGTGAGCGGAGAAGCGCGCAAGCCGCACGAAACAAAGCGGCCAGCGACGGCCAGCCACAAGGGCCGGGGCGGACAGGCCAGTTTCTGGTGGACGAGGCAGATGCAGATTGCACATGGACAGGGAAAGGGATGGACATGGCTGCGCGGTTGCCATGGACGGGAGCGACGTTTGCTGTCTGCAGCGGTTGCGGTAATGCCCTGGACGGGCGACGGGCAGAGCGCCCTTGTTTGATGGAGACTGCGACTACTTACACTACTGCGACTTGCTGCGACTGCTACCACTGTGACGCCCTGGAGCAGCCGGCCATGCGTGGTTTGGCTGCATACAGACACACCCACATGCTGCCATACGCACACCACACACACACTCACACACACACACCCCTCTACATATGTATGTGTGTGTGTGTACACACGCGCCCACACTGCGCGTCTGGTGGACCCCCCGCCCAACCCTGCGCGGGCTGGGCGTGCACAAGCGAAGCTGCAGAAGCTCTCTGATGTCTCTGACCGTCCTTTGGTGCACGCTGCCCGCCCATTTGCCCTGCGCTAATCGGCCGTCTCTTCACCTGTCTTTGCCCACCGCCGCCGTCGTCCTCGCCGTCTTCGTGGTCGTCGTGGTCGTCGTGGTCGCCGCCGTCGCCCTCGCCGTCGTCCCATGTGCGCTGGGCGTTGGTGTCATTAACTGCTGCTCGCTGCCTCTGCCTCTCTGCCTCTGGCCTCGCCCCCCCCCCCCCCTTGTCATCATCACCATCATCATCACCACCACCCTTACCAGCCCTAATATTACTCCCATCACCTCCACCATCACCTCCACCTCCACCTCCACCACTTACCCGACCCCCTCGGCGCGCGTGTGCCTGAGCCAGTGCTGGGCCGCCTCCCGCGCCCTGTCGCATCGCGCCCTGGAGCTGTTCCTTTTTGCGACTGATGTGGTTTCGCGCCTTTTCTGATTGCGCCCTGGCCCCTTCGTTCGCACGGCCCGTCTTAAAAGCGCCACTTTTCGCCGACTGAGCGACAAACGTCCTAGCATTGACCGCGCGCGACTCATTCATCTCGCCTTTACCTGCTTCGGATAGTTGTCTCCGGCTCCATGGTAAGGTCGTCCTGCCCAAGACTAGGTCCTTTCTTCGCGCACGCGGCATAGGAAAGCTCCCGTCCTGCATCCCACTCTGGCCTCCGAGCACTTGCCCTGCGACGCTTTCCAAACTCTTCCCCTCTTCCATGCGATGACGCGGGTTGGGCTGTCATCTGCAAATCACTACTGACCAACCAACTTGCTGCCTTTTTGGTGAATTGGTCCCTTCCGCCCCTGCGACTGCCGAGGCCGCTCTCCACCAGCTGCACCCCCCGCGACCTTCCTTCCTGGCTTTTGCCGTTTGGTGGTCCTGGAACCATCCGTTGTGCCCAGTAGTGCTCTGTCATACATAGCCGCATGGCCATAGCGGATTCTGTCTGGCATATGTAAGGATGGCTGATCCTGACGCGCCCGCCCATAACAAGAGAGCTCGTTTGGGCTCCAGCAATCTTGACTACAACGGCCACGGATTCCCTCCCCCTCCTCCACCGCCTCATACCCAACCCACCCGCCCTCCGACACATCCCACCTTGGCCCAGGCTTCTCCGCCCTACACTACCCACGGTCTATCCACTCCCTCTCACCAGTACACCGCTCACCCCCAAGCCTACCCAGGTCCGCTACCCTCGCCATCGTTGCCACCCTCTGACATTCGCGCCCTTGCGGATCCGCGCAACATACCCTCTCCCCGGCAGCATCCCAATGGCGTCACAGGAGTCGCTACTGTGACAATCCCCCAGGACCGCATTTCAACCTACCGTCCTCCACCGACGCCCCAGTCAGCATCGGCCCCAGATCCTCACAGTTCCCGCTCCACCAGCCTCAGTATCAGTACCGACGTCAAGCCCCAGCCCCAGCCCCAACCTCAGCCTCAACCACCCATGGAGCATGGTGGCCATCACCCGTCGTGGCCTCCCATGAACCCCGAGCACCGGCCAAATGGCAACATGGCAAATGGCTACAGCCATGCCATGAGTCCCTCTCACCCCAACGGACCCCCGCCATACCATGCGCAGCCACCACCACCGCCTGCTCAGCAATATCCCCAGCCAGTGACTCCCTACGCGCCCACGCCCTACATGAACGACTATGGCGCGGGACAGCAAATACGAAGGAAGCAGGTCCGAGCCACGCAGGCTTGCAACCACTGTCGTTCGCGAAAGCAAAAGTGTGACGAAGCCCGACCGTGCCAGTTCTGCAGAGAGAACAACTTTGACTGCCAGTACAAAGATGTCCCACCACCAAAGTGCGTCGCCTCCACTTCACA